CTTTTCAAAGGAGAGTCCACTGCAGGAAGGAGACCCCGTGCAGACATCATTTCTTGAGGGAGGGTGACAGGAGAGTGCATGTCCTGGGGCAGGGACGTCCTTGACTGGTGTCTGGGGTCTTGATCTAGAAAAGCCTGTATTTCTTTGGTGGGGGAGTGGATGAACCCATTTGTAAAAGGTGATGGTTTTCACTGGGACATTTGTCCACTGTGGATGCAGGCAGGGGGTGCTGGCACTTGTGTGCATTTACACATTTGGGTGACAATGGGAGAACTTGAACTTTAGATTTATTTTACTTTTGTATTTTTATTTTACTTTGTTACATTATAGTTTTATATATTGATGGAATTAGTTGGTACACATTCATTCATGCACACAGTCAGGTTTATTTTAGAAAGGCGACACACTGCTTCCATTTTTACAGAATGGAGACAAGAGCACCTTTTTAAGAAGGGTTCTTTGGAATGCATGTTTTCGGGGAGTGGATGAAGTAGGAAGCTGTCTCCTTGAGGCAGGTGTTTGAAAGCCTGTTTACTAGAAGAGCCACTATATGGAAATCTCTAGGAGGTGTCCCCTGTAGGGAGGGGCATAGTGAGAACCTCTGTTGATGACGTGGGTGTGTCATTGGAGTCCTCCTACAGGTGAGTGGGGGCAAATAGAGGAGTCCATTGTTGGAGTAGGTTTCCTTTTGAAGGGATGGGAAAAATCCACAAAATGCACTGTACAAAGGGGTCACCTTAGAAATGCACCTTCACGGGTCTAGGCAATGGAAGACCCTTTGTTTGGCTTGTGACCTTTGTTTAAGTCTTTTGAATGGCTGCCCCTCAGGAGAGGGAACCCTCCCTCTAGAGTCCACTCTGATGGTCTTTTCTCAAAGAGATGTTACTTCTGCCCTAGTGTTCAGAATATTGAAGGAATCCTTGGTTTATCTAGAGCAAGCACTCATTAACTCTCTTCCACAGTGACTTTTAAAACATCTGTTTCCTTTGGGATATTGAGAGAGGGGAAATATCTTAGTGAATTGGGAAATATCTGTAAGGCTCCATCTTCAGGGTAGAATAATGAGTAAGCGGGGGGGCCAGCATTGTGGAAATGGAGGAATGTTTCCTTGGAGAGCTTCATTCTTTGAGGATGATGGTAGGGGAGAGTCCATTTTAGTGGGGTGGTGGGTTGAACTTGGCAGCTCCAATTTCCTGTGCTGGATGTTATGGGAGAAGCTACTCTGTGGCTCTCTGGTTTCCCTGGCTGTTGGATTTTCTTCCAGCATCTGCAGGAARTTCCCCCTCATGACAGCCTCCAGGAGGAGGCCCAGCATTTATTGGGTCAGCTCTGTGTAAGGCTCCCTGGAACCCGACCTCACACATTTGTGGTKGTCGTTGTCTACCATGAAGACATCTGCAGGTGCTGGCCCAGTGCTAGAAGGGTGTGGTGAGTGACAGCGCTTATATTCAGCAGGCTATGGACTGGTTCTGGGCCTGGCATGAAGCCCCCATTTTTGTGTTCACCATCCATGGCATGAAGGTGCTGGGGAAATATTCCCCCTCCCATGGTGATGTGGCTCACGAGAGATAGCCTTGGTCCTTGCCATTCAGTATAACCACACTGTCAGGACCATTGGCACCTTTGGCTTCTGGGCTGCCTACCTGGCTGGTGGAGACACTGTCTACCTTGCCAACCTCACTCTGCCAGACTCAGAGTTCCTGAAGGTCTTCAAGCCTGAGGCTGCCTTCCTGCCTGAGTGGGTGGGCATTAATGCAGACTTGTCTCCAGTGCAGACAGGGGCTGGGCCTTGGAAGCCAGGGAGACTTTTGGGACTGGTCTCATCAGGCTAGAGTCAGACAGACGTGTCTCCAGAGGCCTGGCAGCTTCTGGAGAAGTCAGGGGTGGTCCCAGAGCAGGTGGTGCCCATGGCCAGAGAGATTCTAGTTGGCCAGAGGTGGAAAGAAGCAGGGGAGGGGCTTCCTGGAGCTGCCTGAACACCTACAACCAGCAGAACATCTTTTCTGATGGCTGGCAGTGCCCAGTGAAGCTCGTGGTGGCTCCAGAAGCCACRGTGCCCACCTGATCATCATATCCATAGTATTTCTGCATGGCAGCCCCTGAGAACAGGGAACCCCCCCCTTCTAGAGTCCACTCGGCTGGTCTTTTCTAGCAGAGGTGTTACTTCTGCCCTGGTGTTCAGAAGACTGAAGGACCTCGTGGTTGATCTAGAGCAGGCCCTCATTAGCTCTCCTTCAGGGTTCCTGGACTAATTCCCATTGGGGTTTGTTCTATGGAGAACCAGCTCTACTGTTCTTGAATATCCCTGCAGAGACTGGGGAATAAAGATCCAGAATTCTACRTTGTTCTGCAAAGAATGTGATGAAGGGACTACTGCCGTACTTAACACTCCCAGCACTGCCAGAATGACCGAGATTTGGGAAGCGACCTCTAGTGAACCATCGTCGGTTTTGAGTATGTACTGGGGATTGAATCCTGTTGAACCCTGGGTGATGCTAGGTGTCATTGAGTAACCTCCTCTGTTCACGTGCTATGGAAATGCTGGAGCCATTGTCACCACAGCCATGTCTGTTATTTCCTGAGGAAAGTCAAGATTCTTTTATTTTTTTTCCTCCCTCAAACAAACATGATAAAACATGGGACTTGGGAGAGGGATACCTATTAGGGAAGTATGACAAATTCTGCAGCAGAATCTTCTGGTGAGTCAGGGTGACTTCTAATTTGTAAGCTCAAAAATTCCCAACACAGGATGTGCATCTGTTATCTCTGGGATTAGGATCAAGGAAGTGTCCTGTTTTCCAGCTGGGATGCTGAGAATCTGGGTTTTAATGTCTGGCATCCAGCAAGTCTGCAGAGGGTATTTGTTCCTTGTCAACCTCTGTGGATCCCTGAACTCACAGGACTAAATTTGGTAGGTCTGGGATGAAAGGATCTGAAGATACCAAGACCTCTGAACCCATGTCAGACCCCAGCAGGAGCACAAGCTCTGGCCAGAGAGCACCAGTCTCTTAGATTCATTTCAGGAGCCCTTGTTGGTTTTTTGTGCCTTGAAAAGGGTTCAACAGACACAGCCAAATCTGATCATTCCCCCTCCAGGAATCTAGGCCTCTGGTCTTCTCAGGATTTCAGGGTACCAACCCAAGCAGCTACCAAGGGGAGGAGAGTGGGAGGTAGGAATTAAAATTCTACATTCCCAACCCTTGTCTCTGCAGCTGTGTCCTCTCTCTCTCTCTCTCTCTCTCTCTCCCTCTCCCCCTCCCTCCCTCCCTCCCTCCCTCCCTCTGTGTAAGATAAAACACTGAAGGGAAGATGGGAGCTCCCAGATTGTCTTTATTCATATTTTAGGTTTTGCTTCCTACTCAGATCTGACAGCCCTTTGGCTGCTGAAACCCTGTGAGTTTCCCTGGAGCAGGAAGGAAAGCAAGGAGAGCGCTTTCGGGATTCCAAGGGTGGGAGCGCTCCATACCTTTCTCTAGCACCCCCATTAATGGCCTCAAGAACTCCCGACCCACTGAGACCTGGGCGTTCCTTCCTTAACCTGGGAGGAGACTGTGGAATTGAGATGAGGAAAGAGAATCATTACTGAACTTCAATCGCCATAAAGCTTGGGGCGCAGTCACAGTAGAGAAAAAGACCCCAGCGCCTCTGGCAGTGCTAGTCTTAGGCTGGAAACGGCCCCTTCCCTATCTTTGAGGCTGGCAGAGG